CCCCAGGCCCTCCCCTGCCACCCAGCTGGGGCTCCCACGAGTGCACAGGCTGGGCAGGAAAAGAGGGATGCAGGGGGAGGCCACCCATGGCAGTTGTCACAGGGTAGGGAGAGAAGAGGAGGAGGAGGAGGTAAAGCAGCAAAAAGAGGAGGAGGTAGAGCAGGAGGAGGATATCTGTTCTCCTCCATGGTGGCTCTGCAGTGCCTGCTCTGATCTCTTCACTGCGGTGGCATTGGCAGCATTTGGCAGGACATCACCTGGGCTTGCTCCAGTTGCTGGTGGGGCCCTTCCCCTGCCCTCGCACCCCCCGTGCTCTCTTGGCACAGCCCTCAGCCTTGGTTCCCACACCAGCGCTGCCCCGGTGACACTGTGAGGTCACCAACTGTGGGCCCCCAGCGCAGGCCCCCCCACACCCCTGCTGCCATCTTGTGCCTTTCTCCCCCCAGCACGAAGGGGCCATGTGCAGCCATGTGTTCCTTGGACAGCCCTCACCCCCAGCGTGCAGGAGAGGCAGGAGCTGCGTGAGCCAGAGGAGGCGTCTCTCCTTTGCAGCCTACAGCACCAGTTTCCCCCCCAGGGAGCTCTGCCAGGTTGTCCAAAATCTGTGTGCTCTGGTCCGAGATGACAAGCTGGTGAGGCAGGAGGCTGCCTGCATGGTGGCCTGTCACAAGAACAACCTCACCCCCCCTACAAATAAACAGGCACACCATGCTGGGGACCCACTGCAATGACTTAGGGGGAAACTGCTTCTTTAACTCTAAGGACAAATTCTCTTTTGAGTTTGACCACCTGTGTAGGGTAATCAGCAAACTGCAGCTGCACGGTGTGATGCTAGAGGAGGAGCTGTGGTGAGAGGCCCTTCATAAGGGCATGGAGGCCTAGGGAGCTGCCATTTCTTTGTGGGGAACTGCTGCTGGTTTAAGAAAAACCCTGGGGAAGAGACAGCTGTTTGTGTCCTACATTGAAACTCATCAGCACCAGCCTTGAAGTCACTGGAACAACCTTTGGAAGTCAGGCTGGACTTTTGCCCTGACTCCACTACCACAGAGATCACAGGGATGTTTCTCCTCCAGATACACTACTTCAAAGATGCCAACCTCCATGTGACTATCAGCAAGTCTGTGAGTGAGAGTTTAAGTGTAATAGACTAAAGTCAGTTTGCCTCAGGTTTTGTGACATTTGTGAAAGCTGAGGACACCCAAGTTTCAACTTGCTGTTCTGGAAAACATTCAGGCTTTGTCAGAGGATATATGTGAGAAGAAAATCTGTGGAGGAAAGTCCCTTTTACTTGCATTTTTATGAACTGGAATAAACTATTGAATGATCAGCGTCTGAACACCAGTGTCTCCAATACAGAAGTGCCTCCATGCTTTATTTCTGGATTACTCAGGAGAGTGCAGAAACTATTGTCCATCAATCACCACTTGGAAAATAAGTCAGGTATGTAGTGATTGAAAGTAGTTTACTATATATTTTTTGTTCTTCATGTACTTTTCAACTGCTTCTGGAGGCTTTAGTAATGGTCAAAATGTCAAAGGCAGTATAGTGCTGTAGGTGGGATAGTGAGTAAACTCTTACTTTCCTTTGTAATTTTACCCAATATTATATTTACTTATCTAATTTCATACTATCTGTTGCATTGGTTATAAGGAAATTAGTAAGGTATGTTGGTAAAGATTTTGAGGTGTTGTTTCTAGATTTTTTTATTGATACTGACACCCAGGAAATTCAGCCTTCAGGCTTTGCTTGTGCATACCTCTCTGAATGCGCAAAAGACATCCTTAACATGGTCACATGAACAAAGGGAGATCAGTACACAGGAGAAATACCTCTGTGATAGCTAGCACAGAAGATATTTCAGGACTGACCAGGGACGTATGCTGGGTGTTGCAGCATTACAGAATAAAGCAATACTGCTTCCCTTCTCTCAGTGTTTCTTACAAATGCTAAAGGAATGTATGTGATTATGTTTCACTTTCAAACTATGACAGTGGTGCTTTGCTAACATCTCTATAAGCTAAATTAAATGCTTGCCACACTTGCTGTTTTCTGTAAACACACATTTAATTACACTTTTACTAGAAACAAAGTTTAACTTCAAGCAGTGATGTAAACACTAACCTTTCTAAAAATAATGACATGAACATTTAAACATTATTCTTACAGATACTAGGTGGTTTTAATGTAAACATAAGATTTTGCTTTTGTTCATCACTGCTGGTGGCAATTACAGTGTCACATGGGTTGAACGTGCCCTTTTGTAAATCCTAATCAGTGCCTTTATAGCTTCATTGCTCAGACTGGCCGTGATTGTTTTCATCTTCTTTGTTTTAAAAATGTAGGAAAGAACTACGCATTGTTATGGTTGTGGGGTTAACAAATGTTGTGCCAAAATGTTGTGCCATCTTTCAGATTCCTCTTCTGAATCTTCATTTTGCATCTGTACTCATACCTGATTTGGGACGTTCCTTACTCTATACATCTAGATATGATAATTACCCAGGGAAACCAATAATGAAAAGGCATCTAATATAAAAACCATCATTTGACATCTTTCTGTATTGTTGGTGACAAAGCCGTATGCTCAGTTTTTATTAATAGGCATGCTAATTTACAAAGCCTTATTGCAGAAGACAAGGATGTAGTGTTGCCAATATTTGAAGGAAACTGAAATAAATAGTTCCTTTGATATATACATATATATACTATATTTCTTCAGATTTGCACTGACTAGAGTATATTTGTAATATGATTATTCATCTTTATGGTCACTCAGCATAAAGATTCTGGGATTATCATACCAATTTATATGCAGAAAGGTGCTCATCATGCAGGGTTTCCTTCCCACAAGCAGAAAGCAGACTGCCTGCTGACCTTGTAACAGGGTGCCTTGACAATACCTTTTACAGATGCCCATTTGTTAGAGAATCTGCACCATGCACATGACAGAAGGAGAGGGATGGAGCATGGAGAGCATTTTCTGTACTCCTTCAGTTGCTTCATAGAAAGCTACCTATGGGTCATTTTCTTTTGACCCCACAGCTGCTACTGAAAACTGTCCAACACCAATCCAGCCCTTTTGGTACCTATGTTGCTGCTGGAGACCATTCAATGAGCAAGCAGCTGTCTTTACATGGTATTTATCTGAATATGTGATTATTTCTTCATTGAAAATTAGAATACTTTTATTTAAAATGTTATACAGCCCAGGACTGCTGTAATGAAGATGGTCCATTGTGACTGTAGTTCATGTCTGCAGAACAGAGTAATAGATGAAATTTTGAGCATAAATTCAAGTTCTAACAGAAACGGGGACACAGCACTAGAAATTCTGAATTGTGAAAAAAGCACTTTATTCAAACACAAATATTGAACATAAACTAACAATAAGGAACAGTAGGGTACAATGGAAAAGTCTAAGCAGTTAGATGATTTTCAGTTTCAACATTTATTCCACCAGATCAATCCCTTATGAGAGGCAAATATATGACATTTTGCAATATACTGTTCTATTCTGTAGAATTAAATTCTCTCTTGTTTAAAATGCAATTTCTACATAGCAAAACTGTAGCAAGGAGTGCAATAATAAAAACATTTAATATTGTAGGATTAGGTAGTTTTCCTGTCTTCTCTATCAGTCTACCTTTATGAACTTCCCATTTTCCTTCAATTTCTTTTCTCTATAAAAAAGGCAATCTGATACCAGAATCTGCAACAAAAGGTGCTCAAAGGGGTGGAGTTCGGTCAGAATAAACATTCTAATCTGGCTGAAAACTCCCATTTTTTGAAATTAATTGTATTAAATTAATCTGGAAAAGCTGATTACAATACAAGCTTTGTCAATTTTCCCTCTACATTCTCCTTGATGGGCTTGGATTTTTTTTTCTTTTGTGAAGTTAAAACTTGAGGAAGAAGAAACATTATGGGGAGAAAATGAAGGTGTAAAACTCCATTGAAAAGTTTGCTGAACTTTTACACATACTTTTGTGATTCAGAGTATGTTTGAGATTTAGTTACAACTTCTTACTCTTTTGCCCATACCATGATTTTTTTGTTGTTGTATAAGGAATACATTCAAACTCACATTGTCTTTATCCCTAAAATCCCCCTCCTTTTTCCTCTACTGCTTTGAAAACTAATAGCATACATGTAGTTGCCTGTGAATATGTCTTTTTATTGACATCAGTACCCTGCATTTTAAGAAAAACAAGGAAAAATAGGCATATATAACTAAAACAAAAATTAAAGTTGTCAGACTGTATCTTGTAGGTTTCTACTGTAGCCAGGAGTTTAGCATACCTAGAATTGGAGCTATATCTATCTATTTACAATTATATCTGTCTACTGCAAAAGACTTACTTTGTGCCTGCAAAAATACATTATCATCAAGTATCTTTCTGTAATCTGCTTCCAATACTCCTATCTCCTTCCTATCTTTGGTTGTTACTGAGTGGCTGTGGTTATTTATCTCAAGGAGAAGATCACCTACTCTATCAGTTCAGAATATTTACATAATGAGATGTAATTTTCTCTCAAAATAAAATGTGAATTTTGTTGAAACTCTGCTCCTCCATTTACAAGCTTGCAGACTCATTGGGATTATAAAGTTGGTACAAATGTACCTGAGCCAAGTTGGCTCAAATTGTTGATTTCTGAAAATAATTTTGTATCTACCATTAATTGCTGCTGCAAAGAAAATTATCATTTTTATTACACCAGTAACATTAGAGCTTAGCTTGGACTTCATTGACAGCTTCCAGCTGCATTAAAATTGGAAGAAAATCAAAACTTAATATTAGTATTTGGCCTGAATATTTAATGTTAGCATTATAAAGTTTGCTTCATGTTTTGCTAGCACTGCAGCAGGTGGAAAACCTATCAAAATGAGGACACTTAGCAGAAAATGTTTCATCACTTCATTTTCAAATATGTGTTGAATTAAAAGCAACTTTCTTTGTAGTTTCAAAATAGACAAATCTTTAACAGGCACTAAAGACTCAAGTTACTGTTTGCAGAAAGCAAGGTCTCTCAATACTCCTGGTCATTGGAAAAAATTAATGTTTCCCCCTTATATTCTCCAAAAACACTACTAATTCTCTCTTAGTTTCATTCATTGAATGAAAAAGACAATATTGTAAAAATAAACACCTCAACTTGCATGTTTTCCAGGCTGTCATCTGTATCAAAATCTCCACTGTAGTCCTTACTCCCTATTTCTTAATAAGAAGTTGTGGAGAAGAAAGGAAAACATGATTTTGAAACAAAGTAAATAAAAGTGAAAGAAGTACAATGAATGTTCTGTCAAGTGTATTTCTCTCACTGATTTCAAAGAATCAATGTAGTACTGCTCCAATTATAGTAAGATCAAATTCAAGGATTATTTTCCTTTCTGCATTAAGAATGGTTTAATATGTTCGACAAATCTGAAAAAGCAGATTGATTACATACCAAGTGCAAGATATTTTCCAAGTCTGTATGTCAGTATGCCATTCTTACACAAATAGTGGATTTTATAATCCTTTTTAATGAAAGCTTTGGAGTTATTAAAAATGTGGAGTGGTTTCAAAAAGTCACTATTTCAAAAATTAACTATTATGAGCTAGTCTAAGCCTAGTACCCTGGGATTCTCCAAAGTTACATGAGGTATTTGCCATAGTAAGATTTAGGAATTGCCAGCACAGAAAACTGAAGGTATGAAAGATCTAATAATATTTAAAAGAAATGAGCCATGTTGTATTAAGTCATTTATGTAACCAATTATTCTTTGAATAGAATATGAAATTAAATGCTAAGCATCCTGAAATTCATACCCCAAAAATATCCTGAGACTGTGGGATCCTAACAATAAGATCTGGTTGGTTTTGGTGGGTTTTTTTTTTTTATATTATAGTTCAGATAATTGGAAGAAAAGGGAGTGTGGGCCTCAGCTTTTTTCTAGGTGTAGGTATAGGCCTTTCAGTTCTGCATCTTTGTACATAATTAAAGGTTTGTATTTCCTATTTGCTTACTAAGGGACATAACTCTTACATACACTGCTTCTTAAATAGCACTCATTATTGCTGTGTTGGTAACAATGGCAGCTGAGAGCCTTTCTAAATAATCTTCCAGAACCAGAAGGCTAAAAATTTAGTCTGTATGGCCATAATCATAGCCATGTCTTCAATGTATGCTGACAGTGATAAAACATCAGAGTTTTAAAATATAGATTGCAGAAGAGACCTTTATAAGGGCTCTACCTGTGTGTCTCACCAGGTATTTCATATGAGACAGATGTCTCTCCTTAGGGGAATGGAAGCCCAGTGTCTCGTATGACATTAGAGGAGGACTAAAAACCTGGAACAGGAGAAAGAAGAGAAAGGGCATAAGTGTGGGGATGCTGGAGAAAAATTTGAATAAGCCACATCCACAATTGGAGAAAGGAAATAAAGAGACCAGTATTA